ACCGTTCATATCTGCAGCATCGTCTTACCGTTCATATCTGCAGCATCGTCTTACCGTTCATATCTGCAGCATCGTCTTACCGTTCATATCTGCAGCATCGTCTTACCGTTCATATCTGCAGCATCGTACCGTTCATATCTGCAGCATCATCTTACCGTTCATATCTGCAGCCTGCTCACAGGAGTAAAATATCCCGGTGTGGAACTTCCTGAGGATGAACTTCTCCTCTCCCGTCTCGAAGATGTACTGCACCTGCCGGCTGTCGTTGAGGTTGGAGCTGTTGAAGCGGATGCAGTACATCTGCTTCATCTTGACCGGCGGCCCGGAGCAGAAGGGCTTGGCCACCTTCCTGGTCCCCTCGCACCAGTAGCTGGTGGTCACCGCTGACACGGCGAAAGCCAAAGCCACAAAGTTGAGCATGATTGCCAGGGAAGCTCGCCGGCCGCGCTCCAGCCTCATGGTCCAGGCCAGGCCAGAGAGATGAAATGAAAAGGCGACTAATCCTGGCTTTCAATATGTAGCCACAGTGTTTTGCTTCCCAGCAGAGATGTCAAATCTTCATAATCTTGTTGCGTTTGGGGCTCCTTGGGTGAGAACGCAGAGCGTCCCTCTGCCAGCTCGCTGCCTGTTCTGCATCTCTTCACCTCGGCTCCACAGGAACGACACAAACCCATTTTCTGTCTCTGACCATTTAAACTCTCGGCCCCCTCAGCTTCAGATCAAACCCGTGGCTCCTCCCCTCCAGCAGATCTCATCATGCAATGTTCTCCATTACAAATGGCAAATTACGCTCCAAACTTCCTTTGAGCTGAGATTATAATCCAGAGTGAGGCTCTGGCTGCTTAGGTTCTCCCAGCATTTCAAACCGATTGCAGCAGAGGCAGCAGATCAAGTGCTGGTTTAACTTTGACCAGTGACATAATGTGCGCAGTCTCATATGAAAATCCATCCAGAATGTGTGTGTGTGTGTGTGTGTGTGTGTGTGTGTGTGTGTGTGTGTGT